TATCACCTGGAAATTGATCTATATAATGACTGCATATTTCCATCTTGATGTTACACATTTTGCAAGTGTGTAAAGCACATTTAACCAGCAATCTCAAAGGATGGGAGTGGCATTTAACATGTTTGAAAACAATGAATCACTTGTTAACACTCCCGTCTTTTGCAAACGATTTTTCACAATTGAAATCATTTGCTTACAATATTTGATGTTTAGATTGTATTCCATCGTTCGTCGGCAATTTACCGTTAGAAAATTACGTTTTGATAAAACTGCACATATATGTAGTAAACATCAATTTCCTTTGGATCGAGGTTGAGAGAAGTGTGAACGTTGGGCACACAATGATTGATGCAATCAGAAACCTCGGGTTTAGGCTGCTAGAGAGAAAGGGATGTGAATTTCCGTGGTGAATAGTTGAAAAATACACAACGTTGTAAAATCCGTGTTACCGATTCTCATCCGCAAACATATCATTCACAAAACTGTCATCACCTGACTGACGGGATCGAGCTATAAAAAATGCAACGATTTAGTCAAAAATATATGTGAGTATAAGACAAACTAGAGAATCGGAGTGATAGGATAAAGGTGGCAGAGTGCTGCTTCCGCATCGCAGATGAAAATGAATAGTCATCCTCGGAACGCAGAACAATATGCCTTATGATCATTACTGAAGAGGATCGAAGTTGATTTTAAGAGGGTAGGTAAGAGAGTAGGTCATCACCATATAACTGAAAACTAAAGTATTTTGTTTGAATACGGATAATGTAGTTAATCTGGAATTCTTGGTGTTTACAGAAACATGGTCTAATCGATGATGTTTTACGGCTGAAACACCAATCATATTGTGGGGGTCTTAGCTGAATGCGTTGGATGGAATGATTTTAGGGTAATACGTAATTATTTGAAGTTTAGTACATGTTGACAAGGATCTGATATTTTTGCACTTGAATTCTGTCTCAATAATTAGCCTACCTGTGATGCATCATATTATATGACTGCAACACTAAGAACTTGGACGCCGATTGACAGAAGTAAAATGATGCCGGGTATATTCCTAAATAGGTCCCAAAATATTTCACTGTTTCCATATTGACGACTGCTAGTTTGACTTTCAATTTCTCTAGGCACACGGTTGCAGCTTGCGTTCCAACAGAATGTAAATTACTCTGCAGATTTTGCCAACGGATCTGGGTTTCATCGAATGGCTATTTAATACGGATTTGTGTAAACCCAAGGTTGAATATTATGTAATTACCTTGGTGTTTTGCTTGTCCGCTTAGATCATATGTCAGACTGCTTTTGTTTTTCGGTATGTTCACGTTTTCGAGGTACAGTCTGCCTGTTTATTACTGTATGTGGAGGAGTAGTACAACAATCCCAAACAACGAGTAACGTTATTCAAAACCAACGCAATATGCGAACAACGTGATATAGTGAATCATGGCAAACAGGGATCCATTCACTAAAGTAAATTGTATTGGAGTATTATCTTGAACTCCTTTCAGGACTTCTGTATTTTTAAAACAGTCATCCAAAACTTGATTACTTCTGTCATCTTTTCGACACATTACAGGAAAGAGGAGGAGCACTTATCGCAGTGTTATCCGAATGCTGTTCCCTGCCTATAAAGACCAACTGACTCCAGACCATTATAGTTAGTGTTTTATAGTCGGTTTCCAGACTGAAATGCATTCTCTGATTATTATAATGAGGATCATATAAAACCACATGTCGTTCAAATACCTTTCGGATTCGTAGATTGCTTACCGTGGTCGTAGGTTATACCCAATTACTAGGTTATTCGCAAACTGGCTTTAATGTCGGAGCTCATTCCCGCTTAAACTGTTACGTGGTAAATTATTCGTTCTTTCTGTGGAACAATGTTGCTTTAGCCTTCCGCATATGAGCTTCTAGTAAAAAGACTGAGCGAGGAATATTACCTCCGGTGTTTTTACGTATTATAATATGTGTGGGGCAGATACGCCATATACAGCTGCAGATGTACTTTAAGAGTCTACCGCTTCGATAGGATTTCCAGATACGATAATGGGACTTTATCCTGAGTTCGGCTTACGCGAAACATTTATCTGCGTTTATCCTGAGATGATCATTATGGGATGAAGTTTGCGGAATGGAATTGTAATAGGCGGAGATTTGGAATACACAAATATATCTTGTTGAGTAAAACGCAGGAGTTCATAATTCCTGAGTAATTACCACATCCGCCGCAGCTTGAATGAAGCTTCGGTCTTCTGTGATCATGGTGGGCTTTATTGGTTAATCGTCCAGGTCTTCTGGTTATTATGCACTGTTTTCGACATTTGTACTGGGCTTTATTTTCTCTGGAAAGAGTAAAAAATAAAAGGATTAATATGTTGACAAGTAATATCAGGATTGGGCAA